ATTTGCCCCAGACCAAACGAATTCTTTCCCTAAGCCTCCTCCAATCCTCGCTCTGTTGAGAAGAAGTGACATTCAATTCAACTACAAAATCATCACCAACCTCTAGCTTCTTGTACTGCTCGACTAAAGACTTGGTTCGTTCAATTTCTTGGGAAGCATTACGCTTTTTAGCAGCCATTCTCGCCTTGCAGTCATCCATCCTCGCTTGAAGCTCCTTTATCTATGCAGCCAAATTGGTCATCAAAGAGTCTTCAATCATAACTTCGAAAGAGATTTCTTTCAATTCATCCTCAGGTTTGTTGATCTCCAGAAGCAAAGACTCTCTTTCGGATGCAACGCGAAGATATTGAGTACTCTTGGCCTTCAGTTCAACATTTTTGGCTAGCAAAGAGAGGATGTCAGAGTGGACAACTTTCAACGTCGCTTTAAAATCAGTAGAAATATTGAGCAACGAAAGTGTCAATGCTTGCGCCAACTTCGCACTCAAATGCTCAAGCTTATCCTTATATTTGGAAGCACTAGCCTGACCAATGTCCATGTCCATAAAAGATACATACTCAAATATCGACTGCTTGAGGAACTTCATATCTTCCTCTGAAGAAGCAGAAGGACAACCGATTGAAGTAGGGCGAGACGTCTTGACTTGCCCCCAGGAAGTGAACAAGTCCTGGATGGAACGCACAATTTCATCAGCATCCTACAAAGAAAAATGCCAACATTGAAGGTTTTCACTACAATAAACAAAGTGAAAATAAAAGTGAAGCAAAAGGTTACCTCATCAGCAATCTTGGGAGGTGGCATATCACCAGTTGGCTCCACCACCTGTGGCCCCAACACCTGTGGAGACTTCCCCTTGTCTGGGCGAGAAGACTCTACCACAATGGGCAGATCCATGGGAGCGTCTGCATGATTAAAGAAGCAACAAATCAGAAACCAATAGCACAAGTAAAGGTAAAACATCGAAAAATGTATTACCTTCTGGTTCGACGTTTGGGGGGTCGGCGCCCTGGGAAGGAGGTGGCTCGTCCATTGGTTGTGATGAAGGTTTCGGGACTAAAGGTTTCTCTTTAAGCGTAGTCCCTTCATCAGCTGGTTTGAACGAAGCAGCTCCAGCAAAGGATGATGGAGCAGGAGCTGCCAACACTAAAGCCTTCAAAAGAGCGGCTGAACTTTTTTGAGAATTTCAAGAAAACCATTAGCACATAGAAAGGTATGCTTGTGAGTAAACAGAATTCAATTACCTTTCTCCTGACGATGAGAGGAGTGTCATCATCATCATCCTCCAAAATGGGAGATGCTGAAGCTGACCGTTTGCAGCTTGGGGCACTCTTAGCTGCAGTAGGTTTGGCAGGTAGAGAAGTAGAAGGACGAACAGATTGTTTAGCATGAGCAGGGGAGGAAGGATTCCTAATGGACACAAGGGTGACCAAAATAGGAGAAGTGGAAGGAATGTTTGGTTGATCCAGTGAATGAAAAGCACGATTGGCATCAGTTGCAAACAATCTGCGCTTCACTGATGGCAGAGTTGTTCAAAAAGGGGGTGAACGGCACAGCTAAGATTGAAGGGGGCTAATGAAAAGTTACTCATCAAAAGAATATTGCGAGCATCTATAGTTTGTGCCTTTGCCTTATTAATGATATGAAAGCGGTCTATCAAATTTTTTGAATAACAAGGGGGAACAGGCCAAGTTTAACCAAAACCAAGTTGGCGAGCAAAAAATTGGGGAGCATATATTTCAACCCCAACTTTGGCATTGGTTCCAGTTAAAATATCATGGAACAACTCCCTCCCAGTCAAAAACTGAATCAAAACGAACAGAGAGGCGCTTGCACTGTCCATGGTGGATGGAGGTTGCACATAATCTGGAGTTAAATGAGCAGGAAAGAGAAAGAAGAAAGGAATTGAATTTAAAGTATAAAAGAATGAAAAATGTCCCTTCTGGACATATTTATAGGGCTCAATGGGTCAATGGCTAGCCCATAGTAGCTAGCAGAACGAAAGGACATGGATAGAGCACCAAGTGATGAAAAATAGGCTCTCAACCACAGTTGAGTGAACCAAAGAGGCCCACTGCCAGTGGGAGATACACCATTTTTCAATTGAAATTGAAGAGAAGACATGCCTCTATAGAGGGCAGCCAAAAGAAGGAACACAAATTCAAAGGCCTATCACGCGCCAATTCGTGCGCTATGAGTAAATAGCTCATAGAAGGCTTCATACTGGGCATACACAGAATATATTTATAAAGCCAAATCTGAAGAAAGGCCACACGCTCAGCGTGGAAAGGCTCAGTGTTTGAGTGATTATAACAGCCTTGCAGGCTTGAATAGGACTCGGTGAGTTTTTTGTCAAATTTTGGGGCAACACCGAAAATCAAAATACTAGGAAAATTGGTGTCGCCCAAAGGTAGAAGATTTATCAGGGCCCCAACATCCCTTAAAGTAATAGACATGGGACCAAGAGGGAAAACAAAAGTATTATATTCAGAAGACCAAAAACTTAAAGCAATGGGAAAAAGTGTTGGGTCAAAAATTGGGGGTTGAAGAGAGATCTCTAATAAATCAGAAATCCTAGCACGATCAAAAATTGCCTTGGTAGGACCATGGCCCATAAGGCGAGTATGCCATCTATGGAAAACAATATCAGATTTAGGCCAAGTGCAAATACCTTTTTCGAAAATCGGCCTTAGCGGCAAAAAGTTCAGGAATGGAGGGCCTTGAGTACAAGGGAACAGTTAGCCCACCGCCACTTGTTCGACAGTTTCGGCATTGTTGAATGAAGGACCTAGATAGAACTCATTAAGTTCGGCATTGGCTGGTGCAAGGAAGTTCGAATTTACATATGGATGAGTGAGGATTTTCTGGAAATCTTCGAAACTAAAATAGTCGTCAGATTGGGTTTGTGGAGCAACCATTGGGAATGAAATACAGTTTTGTTAAAATTTGTTTGAGAAACGTAGCAGAGAAGCAAGAAGATGAACAGTGATATGGTGAGAAAGAAGCGCGAAATAATGAGGCGTGATTTAGTGGTACAACGAAATGGCATGTCTTTGGAGTTTATAAGGGTTTGTAGCGTCGCACTTTTTCAGGCTATGGAAGGAAATAATGATTGAAATTCTTGGGAATTTCAAATGTTGTTGGGAAACACAAAGTAAATATGGCAAAAATTAATAATTGGTATTAATTCTGCTATATTGGGGGGTAATTGTTGACACACTAAAAGTGCAGCCCAAATCGAATAGTTCAAGAAATGAAACCCAATTGGGGAATTTCCAAATCAAATAGCCCAAAGAATGAAGCCCAACTGGGTAATTCAGGATAAAGGCCCAGATAGGGTTATTAATGAATGCAGTGGAAGCCCACGAACACGGTAACATCATCGCCCAAGCTTGGAAGACGCCCAAAATCTGAGCGAATGAAGTGCCTTACAATCGCCCAGAACTATGACCCTGTTCTCGCCCAAACCTTCAAATCGCCCAGGATCTTAGCAAACATAAGATGCTATGGTTATCCAGAAGTGCAGTTATTGAAGTAGTTATTGAGTAACCTTATCACCTTCCACAATTCAAGGAGCCCAGTTGAAAGCGGTTGAATGACAAAGAGCAGTGGCAGCAGCAGTTAAAGACGGCAGTTCCACGACAAGTTAGCCACCATAAAGAAAGTGGGTAGTTATAAGGCAGTCAAGCAGTTTCCAAGCGGTTTGTCACGAATAAATCATCAAGGGAATATAAAAGGAAGAGAAGACATAAAGAAAAAGACCCCGAATCAAACACTCTCAATCAGAGAATATGTAATTTCAATTTCTTAGTTTAAACTTAAACATTTCTTTCAGTACTCGTGTGCTTGCACCCTTTGGAGGCATTCTGTTTAGTTCCAATTGTAAATCATCGCCAATAAAACACCCCTTTTTGAGAATTTGTCTCAAGAGGTTTGTTCCTTACATAATCGTCTGATCTCCTTTTTAATTGTTAGCGACTACTCGCGCGAAACAATATTGTTAACACAAAGTTAATGAATTCAAGCCATTATATGTGTAAAAATGTCAAATACGAATTTCTAAACCAATAAAGAATTCAATTCCAATTTGCAAATATGCTTTCATTGCAAGATTGGAGCGAAGAAGTTATTACTTACCGGGACGTTAACTACAATCACAAAGAACGCTATAGACTATGGAGATAAAATAATAGCAAGAAGGACAATATCTTGTATTAGGTAACTTGTTCCAATTGAATAATTGTATAATTAACTATAATCATTTGTTGTTTATCTTAATGTTACAACGATAACAAACGAAGTTTTTTTCTAATGATGCACAATGACACAATTGCGTGGGACTTCATGAGTGTGTGGTTAATAAGGAAGCTAGCCTGCTATTTACGATGGCGGATATAGCATAGTCTTTAAGGACATCAATCGAGAATTATAAATTCAAACAGAAAGAACGCCTCTCTACCCGAAAATTGACTATAAGTTTTAGTTTCAGTGTGTTGGAATAGTAACTTCACAAAAATTTACATTTGGATAGGGACGTCGAATATGATGATTAGCCTATAGATATCACATGACACGCGTATAGACCCCTCTCTTATATTTTCTTCCATTTTTAATATTATGTGTTGCTAGTGGTCGTCTTATCCAAAAAAAATGTTATTTCAATAAATTGAAATCAATTGCATGATTCGTTTTTCGTGATTTCATTATTCCTAACGACCATGACATGCTACGTAAATGTTGATCTATTTCTCTATTTTTTAACATGTTCTACTAAGGTTATATTCGACCACGTAAATCATTCTTTTTCTTAATTTATATCTTCAACCAAAATCATTTGCACGTATCATCATTTCTTTCCTTGTTTTTTCTATCATGATCATACATCTATCTTAGCACCCTCTTTGCTACGATCTTTTGACCGGGTCTAGTGGAATTGGTAAGGATCGTTCAACAACAAAGGAACCAATTATTTGACTAGTTATTCTTGAAGAATTGAAAGCCAATTGGACACAACAAATAATACTTAAACCTACTTCACTGCTGACCCATCCCATCAATAAAAACAGGGCCCACAACAGTATTTAAGAAGCAAAGAATGACTAGAACAGCAACTTTTACAAAAATAAAAATTAACAATTTTAGTCTAAAATATATGTCTATACTAGATGTTTAGTTCAATTCGGTTCTATTCGATTCAAGCTAACTTCTCTAGTTCGAAACTTCTCATTCAGTAATAGTTCGTAGCCACTCTTGGCTCGTCTTCTCTCTTCCTCTTGGCAAGAGACAATGAACATACAGTCTTGACTGAGACGACCTTTCGCACGAGCAATCTCCATGTTGCGTCGTCTCGTATTCTATCTTCTTGGACCTTCAATTTGAACTGTCTGCAACATTAAAAACCAATCATGTAACATTTTAGAAGTATTATTTTCTGAATTTTGCCTATTGAAGATGCGATTTAGTTGTGATGTACAGTTAATGAACAACCTACGAGAACAAAATACTAGGCACTTCAACGACTTTTTCTCATTCAACAAATCACAGCAGGTTCCCTATAATATTGACCTTGGATCTAGAAAATCTAATAAAGCTATTGATAATGGCTATCATTAAGTGACAGAGACCCAAGGGAGAAGAATACATTGGCCCTACGTGACAACTAAATTAGCTTCCTTTGTAGAAAAAAACTGAATCATGATAATCAGATTCATTAATCACGTGAAGAACGCTAGGTTAAGACGAAGACATCATATGGGACCCATCCCGACCAAACGGGATTTCGACATTTAGAGTATAATTAATGTTGAAGAAAGCAACATTATTTTCCATCCATGATGATTTTGGAGAACATTTATCATTTATGTTACTAACATTGTCTTATTTTTTCTTCTGACAAGAATTCATATTTGATCATAACAAGCGTAACGCGTCATCAATTCCTAACTTATGCAACCTAAGACTAGTGCATACGTGTCCTAAAAGCATCTTCTACTAATAACTAAACCAGAACACGAATATTATGAAGCGTTTCTTATACCTGCACAAAGGGACTCTGCATTCATCTGTTTGGTCACAAATCGAGGAGTGCAATCGAAAGAGCTGCCACATTCTTTTACAACGCAAACACCCTCCATTAACCCTCCTCTTACAAGTGACAAAATGCTTAATTGAAAGCTGAAGTCCATGACAAGTCGAGAACTTGCTACACGGACCCTTGTTCTTGCTCGGATCCATGTCATACGGACCGACGCTCGTGCACCCTTCCGTACATATATGCTCAAGACAATCCATGGCTTCACTCAATTGTAAATACAAACTTTGCTCCTCTCTATACCTCCTCGTCCTCTTTTTCCTCTATCAAAAGCAAATTCGTATAAATATTAGCCCCAATTTATCATCCTTTTACAAATTAAATTATTTGTTGCAGTAACATTCTCAACCACACATTTACATAATAAAATATTCTACACACAAACTAATAAAGTTTTTTAAAATTTTAATCATACATTCTCCAAAAAATACTATTCAAAACTCTTTAATTTAATGAGAGACAAAAAGGCTCTTAGTAATAGTCTATTAGATGATCAAAACACAATATGGACAAATGAAGGGAAGTGTTGAGGATATACCGATTCGGCTTCATCCATGAACCGTAAAATTTCGAGTTCGAGCCATGGATCATGGTTTTGCAGAAACTTCCATCCTTCAGTCTCCTCAACAGTGTTGAAATTATTCGACAATAATTTCAAGCACTTTACATAAAGATCAGGTGCGTCGCAGAGTCGAGCAAGCTGGAGTATATCGACCACATTTTCGATAGTCAACCGCTCGGCTAAACCCCTTGTACAATTCTGCTTTAGCTGTGGTACAAAATATACATGGGACAATGCGAGCAAGTGAATTCCATACTTCTCCATGTGCTCCTCATCACACCTGATCAAAAACAAACACAAGAATAACTTATTTTAATTCCTATGTTCTTGGAAGCATCATAATAAAAATTTCTCAAATTATTGAGTCGGTCGGTGCGCAACGTGCCACGTGTACAGTGATTAAAATGGGCGGCTGCTGTATGACATGCATTTTTTTTGTCGTGATTAAAAGTTAGCATTTTGGCGTTTTTTTTTCTTATTTTTTTATTTTTTTGGTAAAAAAGAAGGGATCTATTTCAGAATAATGAAATTTGATTCTGTGAAAAGAAGTAAATTAAATTAGACATTGAAAATGGAAGAAATAATAATGGGCGAGGAGGATGGGAAACTGACTTGGAGGAATACAGAAACTGCACGAACGCGGAAACGGCGTCGTATGGAACGCCGAGTATATGAATTTTCCGATCAGAGCTCCGGCGCTTCTGCGGACTTGTTATTAACCGCTCCACCACCGGCGATGCCGAAGCCTGCAAAAAAAATTCCGAAACCCAAAAAATAAAAATAAAAAAACCCGGTTGAAAATTTCGGAAGGTAGATTGAATTTTGTGGGTTTAAGAATGGAATAAATACCAGAATTCTAGAGTGTGCCGGGATGATTCTGCCACCCGAGGTAATGATTTGGACGTCGGGTTCCAGTAATTCATCGGCAACCATGGTTCCGTCGCCGGCGGACGGAGAATTTTGGAGAAACTGATTCTGCAATTGAACCATGATTATGGAACCAGGCAAATGTTTTTTTTTAATAATTACTTGAATAATTTGTGACAATTATTAACGTGGGATTGCTGTGTAAAATGTAAACACAGTTCTTAGGTTCCTTATGGGAGTATTTGAAATATGTCAGTTTATTTATAGACAAGGGAAGAAGATATTGCCTCGATGAGTTGTGGGCCCCTACCACGATCCTACTTGGCAATTTCTTATCATGACTCAATTAGTATCAAAGATAATTCTACATGCATATTATAGTGATCATAAACGTGTTCATAATATACAGGTGAAATTCCATAATTGAAGAATTGAAAAACCTCTCCAATAATATTATGTCATCTGTACATTATATACAATATGGGTGCCCAATTCAAATTGTTCGTGCGTATGCAAGATGCTTTAAAAAAATTAGGTTCTATAATTTAGTGAATATCTATAAATTTAGATAGTAATTTTTTTTTTAATAATTCAACAACTTATTTATCTTTAACACTTAATTTTATTGCTCTTGTATGTATTTATTATTTTTTTTCTATCTTTTATTTTCACTTGTTAGCCTCTAAATTATTATATTATTTCATTTCATTTTCTTTAAATATACTATTTAATTGTAAGCTTGGACAAAATGTCCAGATCAAATCAAACCAAATCAAATCGTGCGGTTCAATTCGATTTCACAAAAATAAATGAATGATTTTGGTTCTTCGTACCAAGAACTATTTGGTTCTGGTTCAAGTTTGGTTCTAGTTCTAGAACCGAGAACCAAACTTAATTTATAATTTTATTTTTATATGAATATAATCTAGTATTAATTGAAGCCAGTCCAATAGCTATTATTTTTGTATAGACTATTAAGGGTATTACTCCAAATTCAAACCTCAAGAGTCCCAAACCCTATCCTGCATATCCCTCAAACGAAGCAATTGAATATTAAACGATTAATGATTGACTGAATGATAAGGGCTAAGTTTCTATTATGAAACTTGATATTATTAACTTTTCGCGAAAAACCATTCATGTATATTTTGTTTGTTAGTTTGAACTTTTAAAATCTTGATAATTGATAATTTGAACTTGCTACATTTTTTATGCTCGTATTTTTTATTTAAGTATATATTTCTAATTTATGGATATGGCCTACGTCTGAAAATTTAAGTTATAGAACTAGAACTAGACCAAATCAAATCAGAGCCGAATGGATCGGTTTGGTTTGGTTCCATACCTTTAAAAAAGCCATTTGATTCTATTATCAAGAAAACCATTGATTTATGGTTCGGTTCAGTTCTCTTAGAATTAGAACTAAATGAAATTATGTCCACTCCTATTTAATTGTGTTAATATATGTAGCATTGAAATTTGAAATATTTTGAATGCATTTAATAAAATTATTGGAGATAATCTTAGAATATATCTTGTACAATAAAATCGACCCATACTTTTATGTAATTTAAAGAACGCTAACATATTAGATAAAGTGATTGACTGAGCAAACTAAGTAACTCAAAAGTAATCAAACATGCTTGAAATTTTACTAAAATGTCTAATTTTAGTGATGTTAAAATGGGTGTGTCAAGCTCAACTAATCCGCCTAAAGCAACATTCTATTAAGGTTCGTTTAGTGTTCGTACGAACCCGTCTAAAATTATGTTTCGGGTTAAGCCTGGACCATCTTTCAAATATGAGGATCATGTCGGCATACAAACCCATCAAATTGCAGTTCGGGCCAATGCCACCCATCATTTTTATTTTTTGGAAATTTAATGTAATTTACATTAAAGTCATTATTGGGGAAAAATGAATATTGTGTGAAAGGAAGGGGGTGAAAAAGACAATATATATGCATATGCATTTTATGGCCAAAACTTATTCTGTCAAAAATTATCAGATTAGAAAGAAAAAAAATGCTGGGGCGGGAACTAAGAAAAGCTCAACGGTTATTATTTTAATAGATTATGCTACATATACATTATGGTGTTCATAAGGATGCTTATAATGTACAAGTGGCATAACGTCATTGAAAAGTTGAAAAACAGTTTTTTCAACCCTCCAATCATAGAATTTCACATGTAAACTATGGACGACCTTATAGATGCCATAATGTACATGTAGAATTATCGTATTTTAATTTAGAAGAAAATATACTCACACATGTTTTTCAATTTTTAATTTCAAAACTCATATGATAAAATTATTCTTTCAAAAATCAAGTTTACCCTTACCTTACCTCACGCGCCCCGTTCCACATCACACACCAGCCACCAGCCTAACCCTAATACCATTTCTATCCCAAAATTCTCATAATGAACGAATACCATTCCACAACCCACACCCCATGAATGTCGAACATCAACTTCACTTTCCTCTCCGGCAACAGGCTCTTCTTGTCGTCTCATTGCCACCGCCACTTCTCTGATAACTCGCTTATCTTGACATCCCAAATAAGACAGACGAAGCCATTGTGAACTAAGATGACGACGAACAACTAGTTGTGTTGTCCTATGCTAGCAATGGAGGTATGTTGGGGATTTGAGGTGACGAAGTACATTTTCTCTCCAACAATAGGCTCTTCTCGTCGTCCCGTCGCTTCATTTAACGATGTTGCTGCATCTGCTACTTCTAGGGTATGTTGTTCTTGCATCAATGATGGTGGTGAGTTGGAGATTTGAGGTGGTGGTCATCACATGGTTACAGATCTAGCAGTTGCCAATTGTTGTAGTTGAGTTGTAGATAAAGTCAATGGCTGTGGTTCAGATCCAGGTGATGGTGTGTTAGAGGTAGAGGTGGTGGTAAGTTATAGATTTGAGGTAGCACTGCGTTTTGGGTGATATCAACGATAATGGAGTAGTGGTAGAGTTGGCAACGATTCGATTCAGGGTATGTTCGGCCAAAATCATTACTTAACTATCAATTTTTTTTTCATACCATAACCACGTAAGTTGGTTCGATTTGGTTCGGCCCTGTTCGATTTCGACAATTAATAATCATGAAAATAAATTATTTTTTATAGGTCCAACCATCAAATTGGAAAAAAATAATTTATGGAAAAAAAAGTCAATAAAAACAAAAACACAATATTAAGCCAATTTAACAAACAATATCTCAAATAAAATGCAAACAATATCTCAATTCTCAAATGTAAAATCCGAATTTAACAAACAATATTATTAACATAAAAATTCTAAACAATATCGTTGTCCCTTCAACCTTGTACATCGAATTTGATTCCTACTCAATAACTCAAAAGCTCCAACTTCAATTTATATTCAATTTTGGACTGGACAAAATCATAAAAAAAATAATGGAAAGTCCAATTGCCAAATTAATTTTTTTAACAGGTAATCAGATCGGGACGAGGCGATAGTATAGATATCATACCTGTCCCGCTCCAAACCGGGGTATTAAAATCAAATATCATATCTATCCCATTGCGCCATTGATTCGATTTTTTTCGTCCCATTCAATTCAGTTAACCGCAATTTTCGATTTTGATAGTTCGAATTACCATCTCTATAGAGTGGGATGAAGAGCAATTGTGACCAATTAATTTGATAGTAGTAACTAATGAAATGAATAATTTATGACCTATAAAAATGTGTGATTTGTGATTAAATTTATCATTGTGACTCACAATTTGTATATTTGTGACTTTGACTTTGTTTAATTTGTAACTAGTATGTGATCGTGATCATAAATTGCATGATATTTTGACCTTGACATGTTTAATTAATTAACAAGTCACAAAATTTTTGAAAATTTTCCACAAGTTTCTTATTTTTGAAAATGTATTTTGATATATTTGTAGTTATGTATTTTATCTTTAATTTACTTTTTTCTTTATATAATAATTGGACTAAGTTTGGTTAGCCTTCGTGGATTGTCAACCTATAAATTGGATCGGGCTAATCTCGATGTGATTTTTTTAAACGGGATTCGGCATTCGAACATTGAAGGTGATGCCCATTTTAAAATTAGTATACTTCGATCTGGCTTTTTAGATTTCTGAAAGTGTTTATGATGACTTTGTACGAACCCAACGTGGAGTAAGAGTCATTTGGGGATAGATGTTACCCTTGGAGGTCACAAACGTCTAAACGGCTCATATCTTGACCTGTTTGTCTAACCATTTCCTATGTATCATCCTAATCCTTTCTAGTGCATAGCCATTTTTCCAACTTGTCTCAATTTAAAATTGCAAATGTTATAGGCCTTGCAATCCTATAATGCCAGTGGCAAAGGCCCAAGGAATAACTTGGGTTAGATTTTCTTGGTCAAGTTGGTTTATGAAATGTAGGATGTTTTTGTGTTTGTCGCTTGTAGAAAATCACTTGTCATTGGGTAATAAAAAGGAGCACTTCTACACTAACAGATGGATGACTCACAGAATTAATACAGATGAGGGGTGGAAGATTTTTTTGGCATTTTTTATCAAAACATGGGGCCCACACACATGGGAGTCTTCTGATAAAATTCTGTGAAGAATATTTTTGTACAGATGGAAATAATCAATAGAAAGAGCCCCACCATAACTCCACTAGGGGTCGCCATTATCGGATGTTTGTTCACTTGGGTAAAAGGTAAGAGTTATTGGTTTGTTCATGAATGCCCAATTTCTACTTTTACTTTTGATCTAAATTTGGCTATTTAGTTATAAATTATTTAATTACAATTAACAACTTTGTGATTATATAAAAGTTCAATTATGGTACGATTCAATTTGATACTGAATATTACTTAACCAAATTGAGAAACAATTGGAATCTTATATACGAAATCATTGAATCTAACTTTCAACTGTAATATTGCAACCAAACCATTTGGTTCCTCAATTACAAGGAAAGATCTGAGTTAAATATAGACAAAATTTCCACAAATGACGGGATCAAACATGTTAAAAATTCGATTTTTGAGTTGGCAATTTTGGGTACCGTTTAAAACTTAAGCATAACCAAATTGAACTAGTGGAATCACTCTATTTCTCGTTCAGTACTGTCATCCACCCTTAAGTGTATCATTTTAAGATCTTTATCTCGATATTAAATTTACTATTACTTTCATCAAATATGCATTTATGGGCTACTAATAGTTTCTTAAATTTCATATTATAACACGTACTATATATACGAGAATTGTATTGTACGTCATATTATACTTATTACAACCCAATTTTTTTTAGTCAAAAGTCCAGAGTTGAATTTTTAAAGTCAAAGTCACATAGGGACTTAAATGAAATAAATGACTTTATTGAGACTTGAATTGACTAAAATATTTTATTGGGGTTTATTTTACAATTGACAATATATGAGGGTTACATTGGATACAATTGGAAGTTGAAAATTTACTTATACATTTTTGGGAAGTTTAGGATTTAAATGTTAGCTCATATTAGAGAAGAGGGACTTTTCTTGCAATTTGGAGTTAGTGGATTTTTAATGCCTTTGACCATCACTTTTTCTCTCATAAATCACACACACACACTAAAAGAAAGAAAGGACCGGCAGAGAAGAAGAAGAAAAAGGGAAAGAAAAGAGGGAAGAAAATGAAGGAAAGGAAAAAGAGAGGAAAAGAGATTTTAAGGAAGGAATATATATGTTTTCAAGTCAATATTTTTGAATTGGAGATGCTATTTACACTAAGGTGGTAACGTGAAAGTTGGGCAAGGCTGGTAAAATTGAACCAAATTGCTATTCATAGATCTGTGAGTGGAAAATCTACGTTTTCAAAAAGAAGATTTCCTTTTTATTTTAAAGCATGTTAATTACATGAAATGTCTTATTTTCGAGAATTAGTAAATGAGCATGATTGTTTTAAAATTATTATTTAAATAATTGATGTGATTATCTTACTCTAGTGCACTGAGGGGCTACGGTCGTGTACTAGAGTCATGTATTTAACTCTTATACACTGAGGGGCTACAATCGTGTATAAAGGTAGCTCTTATCCACTGAGGGGCTACGGCCGTGTGTAAGGATACCTATTCTACACTGAGGGGCTACAGCTGTGTATAAGGATGATTATGTTGTTTTCATCTTGTACACTGAGGGACTACGGTCGTGTACAGAGTGTTGATCAGACGGTTTATGTGCATATGATATTATAGCTTTCAGATCATCAGTAGATGATTACATGGAGTATATTTTGATGTGAATTTTAAGTATATAGCAGATTATTAGTTTTCAGCTTACATTTTCCCGTATACAGTTCAGCTTATGGATTTCGGATGATGATTTTAGCTTAGTGAGTTTGTCTAATGTTCTCACTCATCTTGTATTAATTATTATCATCTTTCTTTTATATATCGGCTTGAGTCTAATTTATGATTTAGTACCAGAATTTTGAGTTTATACGATGTTATGATACAGACATCAAGAATAATGAGTACATTAAGGTAAATGTAGCTCTATGTATGTATGATCAGATTATAGAATTCAGTTATTCAGTTCTAAGAATAAAGTTTTCAGTTTATAGTATTGAGTAACAACAATATTTCATAGATTATCATGGGTACCAAAATTTGTTATACTTTACAGTTATTTATCTCGAATAAAGAACAAAGAATCTTATGATGCAGTCATGTTTTAGTTCTAAAGGTTTTATCCGATTTCAGAATTCTCAAAGTATTAATAGAGCAAGAATTTTAAGAAAATATGCATAAATGGAAAAAGTTTACTTATTTGCAAATTATCCACTCACTGAGCTATTAGCTCATATTGCTTTTACTCTTTTTCCTTATCAGACAGATAGTAGCTGAGCTGAGCACTACTGGGTCAGTTGATCTATCGAGTTGAACTATAAATTGTCAAGTATTGTATAACTCATCTTATCAGGGTAATAGTTCATATTTTGGAATAGACACCTCTTTTGGTCAGAAATTAGTTCCATGTTTTGGGCTTACTATGTTTTGTATATATTATGCATTTTGGGTACTGTGGTTTATAAATTGTTGCAAAGGTCAAATTGCTAATGTTGTATTTGAATAGTTGATTTTCTGTGAGTCAGTGTACCCTATTTTAAACTATATGTATCTGTTTGGGATATTGGATTATATATTTTAGGTGGTTTTAGTCTATAATTCAGGAGGAACTCTGCCAAAATTTTTACAAAGCATATCATAGTCAATACAAGTCAATGTTGCCTTGATGGTGGGTATGACACTTAACTGGTATCTACCATCGGCGCACGACACGTGTCGAATTTATTAGGATGATTCGGGAGGGGTCGTGTCAATACATATTGAAAAGAATAACTGACAAATTTCATCATTTCTCTTTAGTCTTTACCCAATTCAAATATAATCCAAAGAATAACTGAGAATTGATTTTTTGACTAAAAATATTAAAATAATAAATTATGTATTCATGTATGAAATTATTTTATTGAAAGAATTCTAAATTGTAAATTTTGGTAGATTGCGTGATTAAAAATTAAGAAAAAATTTTGAATTCATATGAAGAATATTTTATTGTGAAAATGTCCAATTAAGAATGAGTATGAAAAAAAAAACGAAAAAAATATAGGAGAGTGGTTGTCAAACAAAGCTAGTTCTTGCCAAACGAAAGCTTAGAAAAAGGCGCCCCCGGGGCACATCCAAGTTGGCGGAACAATCACATTGGGGGGCTCTGGAACGAAGCGTGGGGAGTTCGATTCCTGGTGAGAACCTTTGATCCAATAAAGGAGGAATTATTGGTGGATTAATCACTATGGAGGAAGGCTCCCTTTGGGGAAGGAGTTAAAGCCGTGTGGGAATCTAGGAACCAACAAGTGCAAATCCCGCGATTTATCTCCCTGAGCTGTTGAGGGGCTGGAGGTTCAGGGACGAGGATATAGTCTGACGCAAGCTGGGACACATCGTTAAAAAAAAAAAAAAAAAAAACTGTGAAATAATCAGGTCACTACGTATGAGGCTAGTTTTGGTCGCATTGGAAACGGAACGATAATCACTTAACCTCTTTGTGATAGGGGAAGAGCCACCAAGAAAGACTACCAAATTGCTTTATTTGGGGGAATCTTGCAGCCGTTTATTTTTTAAACAAGACTAGAAACTATTCAATGACTCTACGACTCTTCTTATTAGGAGTTGAGTATGCACCGTCCACAAAATTCATAGCAAAAAGAACGTTAACCTCCAAATTAATCTTAGCCATCAAGATTCCAAATAAGTAGACATTAATGATACAATATTACATTTATCGCATGTTGATAGGGTCTGCTTGGGAGCGATTTTTTTATCCAAAAAATTGATTTTTTAACCGTTATTTCACTATTTCAACCGTCATATTTGACTTCTTCTCTCACAGGTGAACCCCACTTTTCTCCTAACGGTCAAAAAGTTAATTCTCAAAATCACTCCCAAATAGCCTCATAATACAGAAAAATTTTAATTTATTATTTTAATATTTTTAATGTTATTTAGCCCTTGTTTGGTGTGGATTACACTCAGATTTGTAGTAGATTTTGATAAAAATTGATAAAATATGTTATTAAAAAGTTATGGGACCCATAAAATATGTAGTTGAAATTAATTATTGACTTTAACTTAAATTAAAATCTGACTTTTTTTAATCGATACCAAACAGGGATTTAATCTACATTGCCAAACGTGCAACTTCTGTAATGAAAATCCATTTGAATGCTAGTTTATTCGCTTAATGTTCTAATGAGTTCTCCATAACAGTCTCCCAAGCAAAGATCCATATCAAAGAGTAGCAAATTTACTTCATAATTTTCTGCATTTCAATTAATTTCATTATATAATTTTCCGGCAATATTTGACTTTGAATGGTAATCCATTGACAACGCTTATCCGAGTTGTACACGATCAGTCTAGAGTTGTACATGATGATGTAATTGCTTACGCAGTTTTTCTACTTTTTTAGTTGTAATATTCTTTTGAGTCGGTGTCCTTTGGCCTTTCTAGTTGGCATATATTTGTTTGCTGTTGCACTTTTTTTAGTAGTTTATATGTGCAAAAACCTCAAAATTTCGATGAAGATTCGATATTATCCTCGTATTGTTTCTTTCAGAACTTATAATCTGTCTTGAAATAGTATAAGTTGAATATCTTAAGTGAAGCTTGAACGGAACTAGCAACAAAATGCTATGTCCAAGTTAGGTGTGACGAGGACAAATTCTTATTACTTTATTCTCTATTTTTTTAAATAGAAGTGCAAAATCGGGATTAAATACCGGGTTTAAATCTAGGACGCGTCGACCCTTGATCTTCAATCATGTGGGGCTCGCATGATTCACATCAACCTTGGCCCCTGGCTTCAAACCCGAGATTTTATCCCGGGTTGAGCAGCATTATTCTTTTTTAAATGGTTATCAAAACAAATCTACAAAAATGAGGTTGAGTAAGCTCCACGCCTGAGAGATTGAGCACATATTGACATGCGATTTGGGTTGTAGAGGGCAAACAAGCTCAAGCCTATATTGACTCTATTATTTGATGACTTGATTAGAATTTCAAACTTAACGACGACAAACTAATCATGAAGGTTGTGCCTGTAAGGAGATTTAAGTGAATACCCAATGGACATTCATTCCCTCTCACTTTGTCTCTTGAAATAATATTAATCCTAATAATAAAATTAATTTCTAAAGAATATTCCATCTACAGTTATTTTTAATTATAAATAATATTATATTTCATTTACATAGATTAAGAAAAAAAAAAGGATTATACGTTTCTCCCTTGCTCTAACGGTAAAAGAGTACCAGACTCTTATGCAGTGAGAAATCTTCAAATCATGACCAAGAGGAAGCAAAATACCCAATAAAAATCTTTCAATTGGTTCATTGAACCGGTGCACATGGGATTCTTCATGGAGCCTTCTTGTGGCTAAAATTCTAATTAGATTATATCATCTGGTGTAGCTGATAACGATTTCTTTCAACATTTTATAATAAAAGAAAAAGGAAAAATAGTATCATACCTTATGATAGTAATCCAGCACATGATAATTGATTTTTTTTTTTTTTTTAAATTTCCATTCTTTTAAGCTAGTCTTGGTCCAAGTGTTGATTTATGGCTTTAATATTAAGATCAAGAACAAATGTCAATAGTCAAGTCCATATGAGATTTGAATGGGTTGTGAGACTACCCATTTCGAATCACCCAAATGGATTCGACACGTAACCTGCGTAGATACAAATCAAGTGTCGGACTCACCACCAAGACAATTTTGAGCTGCTTTGACTGTGAAATATTTTTATAAAAATTTTGAAAAATCTTCCTTTGCAATAGAGACTAGAACCACCTAAACAATAATCATTTTCTTAAAGTTTGTACATATAATTGAAATTAGGGGCACATCGGCCCTCAAACACAAACTATTCAAAATACAATCAATCTTTACTTTTATTTACAAATAAAAGTCTCCAAATGCACTAAAGATACCGAATAGGTAGCGAGCCCATAATATGGATACATTAATTACAAATTCACTTTTCTGATAAAAGATGCATGTATCCCAATATAAAATATGAACTATATAAACTAACAAAATAAATCATACAACTAATGCCAATGTGTGGATCGACAAGCTCCAACCCTGTGCAACTCGACTACTATCTGATAAGAAAAAAGTGTGACAAAATATATGAGCTTGTAACTAGTAAGCAGATATTTCGCAAATAGGTATGTTTTTTTTCATTTATGCAAACTTTCTAAAAACCCTTGTGCTATTACAACTTCAAGAAAGTATGAATGATAATAATGCTTTTAAAACTATAGCATAATGGAATCATAAAAATCTTTATTTTGTAAATTGCACAAACTAAATTCTATATATTGAAATCTGATAAACTATATAATACTGAAAAATCATACCAAAAAGGTATTTGGAATAACCATGCTCATATATCGATTAATCTCGATGTATATGATAAAGATATTCAATTTTAAAATTGTATAAACTGAAAATTCACACAAAAAAAGTAACCAAAATAACCATATGCATGGCAAAGTTATTGATCTGAAACTCTGTAATTCTGTCATTCTGAAATTATAGTAATACGTGCACAAAGCTACCCAAAGAATATAATCTGGTCATACACTATGAAAACACATTCACAATAGTGCAAAGCTCGTAAAATCACCATAACTGATCATATGTGTGGAAGCACATTCACACCAGTGTGGAGCTGATAAAATCACATGGGTATTTTCTAGTGGTTTTTAAATTAACTTTGGCAATACTGAAACGTGTAATATGAATATCACATGCTAATGAAATGATTTAATTGAATATAACTTCAAAAGGAATTGATAATAAAATCCACTTTATTCTAAAAATCATACTGTCAAAGCAACTATATGAAATAATTAACTTTTTGATCTAATATAAATTTAATAAATACTTTTTCTGAAAAATAAATTTTTCCACTCACTCAAAAACAAGCTACAGGTTACAAATGTCGATAAGCTTTTTCAATTTTTTTGTCACCAACTGAAATATGATACAAGATAACCAATTTAACCACTACAAAATTGAGAAACCTTTAATATCTAATGATATAAAACTCAAACTAAATTTCTCGATACTTGAGTAACTTTTCCAAATTTTCAT